CCAAAATCCCACAAACACAATATTTGGCAGATTTATTAGAAGGGGTTATTTAAACTATGCCCCTGGATGCCCACTATGGAGGTTTGACCAGTTATGTAATGCCTGTGTGCTTTCTAGGGAAACGCTTATTTCCTCCATGTCCAAATGAATCCCTGAAAGGCGATGGGCCCTACTTACTACTACCGAGCAATCTAATAATACAACCGCTTTTGACAAAATATTTTCTTTTAATTTAAAAAAAAATGTATGAGCCCCGGACGGCTGCATAGCTACCCACCTTAAAGTCCGCCTCCGACTTTAAACATGTCAGTAAATAAAGAATAAAATACATGGTTATCCATCATAGTAGGCCTAATATTAAATATTATACACAGCATGTTGAAATCGATTAAAATAATGTATACATTAAATGCCTACTAATAATTCAGATATTCGGATGATAAACGCCTGCAACATCATCAATTGGACCCTTACAGGACGATCGGGTCATTTTATTCAGATTGGCCTTATCATGTTTCAGAATAACATATTTTTTGGTATTAAAGTAACACTTTATTAAAAACAATCAATGAATTTTGTTACGTCTTTATATTGATATTTTCAAGCATATTAGATGACCTGAAGAAAAAGTGATCCAGACCTGAAAAAAGGGTGATCCGGAAGTCGTAGGCTTACTGTACAATATATTATGGCGAAAGTAAATTTTTGTCCGTCTCTGAATTTTAATAGTGTTACTGTAATAGAGCCTATTATTAAATATTGGAATGGTACCTTATAGATCAGAGCAGCTTAGCTCAGTTGCCTAAACTGGTGGTAGCTCTGTGTGCGCTAAAACGTGGAGATCTCTAGGTCTCCGATTCAAATAAAATCAAATCATTGTATATTCATCACTCAAAATGGGTTGAATTTTACAAAAGTAAATGGTTCAAGCAGAGAAATCTAAACAACCAACATTTAAACATTTTTCAACAAATAGACCCACATCACAATAACAGCAAAAGGAAACGAGGTTTAAAGGGCAAAAAGGCAACCAATATTAAAATTATTATTATTATTATTATTATTATTATTATTATTATTATTATTATTATTATTATTGTTATTATTATTATTATTATTATTATTATTATTATTATTGTAATTATAATTATTGTAGTGAGATTATTATAGTTATTTTAATTACTGACTTAAAAATGAACAAAGCAATCACCTGTACATGGAGTCCTTTCCAGCCTTTTGGAGGATAAATTCTTTAAGTTTTCTAAGATGGAAATTGGAAGGAGCTTTAGGAATGAGGTAGTGTATTGAATTCCCATCACTGCTCTTCCTTGTATTTCAGTTGGAGGGCTGAAATGCAAGTTACGAGATATAGCGCGCTGTCTTTCGGATGAGACATTTAACCTGTTGGTGCCGTGTGCATTATGACCTGAGTGCACGTTAAAGAACGCAGTATACTAATTGGAAATGAGTAGAAAATTGTTTCCTGATGTACAGTGAGTGTTTTTTTGTGGATGAAATATGGGTATATAGAACGACTAGGAAAAAGGTGTGATATCGAAATTTCAAAAGAAGAAACATGTTATAAAGATATCCTGTTTTCTTTCCTGTATTTCTTATGTAAAACCGGATTTAAACTTTCAAAACGTTTCTACAATGTGTATTTAGGCTTCATCAATACGGTATTGCGAATGCATCAATAGTCAATCAGTCAATTGATTGAATAATGCTTTTGTATCATCGGCACACCTTTTTAGTGTAACCTTACAATGACTAGACAATAATGAATTGATATAGAGAAAACACACAGAAAAAAATATATTTTCTCTCTTATAAAGTATAATGAAAATAACCTGATGGAAAAAAAATCAATAGGAAAACTTGGAGGAAAAATAGTGGGGGGGGGAGAATAGCCTGGGCCGGGAATAACTCTCCAGGTAGAAAAAAAATCAGTGGGGAAAATAAGCAGGTGGCAAGTAGCTACCGTAATAGTGCTATATTATGTAAAGTAAAGCCTCAAACCACCTCGATTTTGAGTCTACTAAATATAAAAATCTTCCCAGGCTTTTGCAGATATAGCCAGAACTAACTTAATATTT